CTATCGAGGTGCCCTCACCCCTGCATCTGCCATGTATAGGAATTTGTGTATACATACTACAAATACAGTCGATATCCGAAAGTTAGGGTAGGCGTGTCACCGGAAGTGACGTGCACTTGATGTATGTTGGAAGCAGCTTATCCACATAGCTTCTATCAAGTGCACGTCACTTCCGGTGACACGCCTACCCCAACTATCGTATATCGAGTATATGTATGGATTTGTGCTGAATAAAAATGGGTTCCCTATGCTATGGTAGCGGTTACATCGCATACTTTACATTGGAACGTGCTATCACTCTCAGACAGAGAGAAGAATGCGGTGTTGACTGTTACCCTTGACGACGGTATAAACTTTAACAGTTTATCAGAGCAACTGTTATAAATCTACGAGAAAAAAAACCAGCCACATAAGAAGAAGAACACCTTTGACCAGTAGACGCAGTATTCAGATAAATTGAAAAACAGATATCACAAACAGTATCACAACAAAACAACTACAGAAAAGAGAAACTATATAAATAACCCTCACGAAAAACAAAAGAAAATGATAAAATGCAACGAAGAAAAATCTGAAACGAGGTTACAATGGCAGCAGCTGAACAGAAAAATCCTATCAAAAACCTAAGCAAAACTTCTGTTTTAGAGGAGCGCTTAGCATTTGCTAACTAAACGGAAAGAAACATTCATTCAAAATTAACGGTTGGCAACAGCGGCTGTTATTCCACCCATAATATTCACTCTCCTTCCATCGTACTTTTTCGAAATGTCTTCCTCCAACTGAAATTTTGTGAATTCAAACTTGTTATCAGAGTCTTAGAAGACTGACGAATCACATTCTCAACATTACTCACTTGTTTCTGAAGAAGTTTTGTAGATGTCACGAGAGTTTGCAACGTCTGTCCAGCCTTTGCGGCCTGTTCACGGGCTTCGTTTTGCTTCTCAACCATTAGGGATTGCATCCTTAACGATGAAGAAGTATTAAATGAAATACTTGAAACTAACTAGATATATGACAGCTGTGAAGAAGAGGAGACAGGCAGAGGTACATGCTTGACGGATCGGAATTGGCGGAAATGAAAACAATAGAGATAAATAGAGAAAATAGACCAATGTGTGAAGGAATGTTCAAAATAATGGGAAAACATGGTTTGTTCAACACAAAAGGGGGTTTTGGGGAATTTAAACGAGGAGCAGGCGGTTACTATGTAGAAACAAAATAGAACATGAATGGATAAAGGTGGCGTGCGAAAGGTGGGAGAGCGGGGACTCCAAAAGGATACAAAAAGAAAGAGGACTCAGCGCACATCAAGGTGAATCACTTTGGGAAGAGTGGTAAGAGAGAGGAAAAACGTATGGAAAGAGACGAAGACACTGAGTAAGAGGATAAAAAAGGATGCAGAAGTTGGAATATACGTGAAAAGACAGGGTTGTGCAGATAAACATTCAAATCGTATTCACAAAAAAGAGAAACCGCGGCAGATCGCAGATGGCCGATCGGTGAAAATTGCCATGGGCAGCTAGTGTATCAAGACTAATTTTAGAAGCAAAAAATCAAACAACGTACTTCTTATATCGTGCCTCCAATCCTTTCTTGACCTCGATTTCTTCGACCAATTGTTCGACATACCTATGCAGGACTGGTTAGTTAGCTTTCTATTTTCAATTACTTCTGATCAAGGAAAAATAAACAAATAATAAATAAAGCAAATGAGCAGTCTATATAAGGTAAGATGGCGCTGTTTCGACGACTTCAATGTAGTAGATCAGGATATTAGTTGCGCCTCATCCTCTTTTATGTTCTTGAAACGACTCCAATTACCGCGAGCCAATTTTTGCAACTTAGCTGCCAAGATAGTTAGGCATGCCTCTTTTCAGTGATGGGAATTTCTTTCTCGGGGCTGAGGAATTGTGATAACGTGAGGAAAAAGAAGCGAAGTAGGCATCAAGTTTTATTCTGGGAGAAGGGAGGGATGACGAACATCGAACTATGCCGTTATTCCCGTGAGGTTAAAAAAAATACTGTTATGCCTTCATTCTTATATTTTCTCTTCTTTGTAAATCCCTTTAGCCACTCAGAATTCATTAAAAACCAAGTGATCATAAGAATTTCTACTTGGCCTATTTAAAGACTTGTGAGGCCAACCGAAGCCGTGTAAATAGTACCCGAAGGAGCCATTAGAGGTAAGGTAAATCAAACTTACTGTGGTGAGGTCCTGATACGGAACAAATGGATCTTCTGCTGATCAGACAACTGGTCAACTATGGACTTAATCTGAGAAATCCACTCTCCTATCTGCGGCGGCGACACCTAAGATATGACTATCTTCTGAAGCAGAATTGTGAGGATTGTTATTCAAACCAAGCATGAATCAACCGGTCTAGTTAAGCCGTTAGATCACAAGGACGCAGTAATCTCAAGACAGGGAGACAAGAAAGTGAAAACTATCGTACCTTACTTATCTCAACGGGCCTCTTCTCAAAACCCCTTATGAACACGTCCGACGAAGTGTCTCGCTTCTCGTCTTCATTACGCATCGATAGGAATGCTAGCAACTGTAAGAAAACTAGCAAAATTAAACTGAGGAGTAGATCAGATTTGATTTTGAGGCGCTCACTTCATTCAGTTCATTTTTCAGAACTTTTTGTGTTTCCATGTTCTCCACTACGCCAAGCGCATCTTCTCCAACTGCTACTGACTCTCCAACGGCACCTATGGAATGGAAGAAGATTTTGACGTTATAGCGAAACAAGCAGAGCTAGCTATCCACTTTTCAATTGCGCACCTTTGGTGTCAGCCACAACATCAATGTGTGCTTCTTCTCCAGCAAAGTCTACACCATCATCAATGCCGAAATCAATATTTTCATCACCAAAGTCAATCTCATCATCGTCTTTCTTCTGCAAACAACAGTTAGCAATGAAAACAGGGAGTCGACAAATGCCTTACCTCATCTTCTTTCAGTAAGAGGTCATAGGAGGGCAGTTCAATTCTTGTTGGACTGATACCATATTTGAACTCGAACGCTGTCAGTGAAGGGCCTTTTTCCATCAACAGAGCCAGCAAAGGCAGAAGCTTTCCAGGCGGACGCTTACCCCTTGAAAATCAAAACGTCCTTCGCCTAGAGGCTCAAGCACAAAATTAACAGATGCACTTACTGATGAATGTAGTTTCGAAAATGAATATAATACTCGTAAGGCTCCTTGAGATGAATGATATCGTCTGTTATCTTCGAGAAAAATGAGGGAAGGTCACAAGCAAGGGCCAGAAGCTCAGCACGAAGGGCATGTCCCTGAACGACGAAATGCTTGACAAATGCTTAAAAAACAATTTAAAACAATTGGCTAATTGTTAAGAATTTCTGTTGTACTATCATCCAATAGCACCTAGTAGCATAACATCCAGTTTGATTGGTCATAGAGCCTGAAGCCTTTGCCATTACCTGAATTCCTATGCGCTGTAGTTCCTTTCCATACAGTTTTCGACCATCTTCCGCCTGCTTACCATACTCCTTCTCCTTTCTGATACTATCCTATAAAAGTTACCAATTATGTCACGAACACCAACTGCCAATAATAACTAAGTTATGAGAAACATGTCATATACCGCAAGAACTTGTTCCGCTTTCGTGATTTGTTTCTTTTGGGCCGGGATCTCGTACTGGACCAACCGTTGCAAAATCTTCAAAGTAGTGCATTAATTTGTTTGGTGATAAGGAATTGCCTAGAGCAGCATTCATTGAACTTGAAAACAGACAGATGAAGAAAAGCTGCAAAGAAAAGTTACAAAGAAGATAACGGAAAAAGCACCTGGGCCGCTTCAGCGAGATAAACATTGTTCTTCTTATACAACGATTCTATTTCCTGAAAGAAGCAACTGATGAAAATTTGAAAAATTGTCCAAATAGAAACTAAGGTTGCTAGGACAAAGTTTGTGCGTTAGGGCCATAGTGTTCAGTTGAGTAACCGTCTTCCATAATCAGCACAGCTAGTATTATGGTCATAGGCCAAAGGCGACATTTCACAGCATACGGAGTGCGATTGCGACCAGACTCGCGCTACGTAACGAACGCCTGCCTATTCGGGCATTCTCATGAATACCACATGAAAAGAATGCAGATGCTACGTCCAATTACGGAGCATCCAGGAATAAGCTAGAAGAAGGCAGGAACGCTAGGGGAAATGAACATCACTAGACTCTGGAATCTCCTTCCCGTCTAAGGATCAGTCCCATTTTCAACTAGAAATGTTTTACGCGGTATCGAGCGCATTGCCATTACAATGCCCCTGTATCTTGCGATTACACACTAGATTGTCCATGTTTTATCATAAAGCCTCTTTGCATTTACTCCCACACGACTTCGTCCTGGAAGTGTCCATGTTCTGGCATAATCTATCTTCTATTTAACCTGAACCTGGTAAACTGGAAACTTGATGGCGCAACTTCAAGATGTTCTGTATTCTGCAGATACAAAAAACTACGAAGAGGAAGTTATAAGTATGATCGCATACTCGCCAATAAAAAGCAATATCGGGCACTGTATGCCAACATATCATAACAAAACACCAAAAAAAAAAACAACCCCCAAAAAAGAATGAACATAATTTCCCTGGTAGTCAATCTTCAATCAAAGCGGGTTATGTGATAATTTAATGAGCAAGCGACCGCACTTCGTGGCAGTGACCAGCTCCCAAGAGATATTTCAGAGAATCACACACCTAAAATTCGCTAGAGTTTGAGTCTCCACTAATTTGTATGAGCAAATACGCCTCAAAGAACGAGATGAGGCCTCTTATTAGCCAAACCAGTTAGAGAACTACACTGCGCTCCGCGACAGTGTTGGGGATTCTAAGATCCTAGGTTCTGACGTTCCGATGGTGGAAGTGAAAGTTAGAAGCCTACTATCACGGCACAGATTTAAAGCAGTAGAAGGCGACGGCTATCGTTACCAGAAGCACCCCGTTAGACCCGCAGCGTTTCTACAAAGTGCGGCTTGCAATTCTTCCAATTGCTAAACAGAACTTTTCCAAAAGAGGCACCTTTTCTTTGGTGCTTAGTAACACGAGTGAAGAAAAACGATGGCTTTATACTGTCAGGTGAATTAGCGGCATAGATAACATTGGCGGCTCCGAAGAGGTAAATTAGAGGCGCATCCTTTTTGGACTTTTCTGGACTTTTCTAGAATCCGACATTCCGGGAATCGCTTCAGTTTTTTGAACCAAGTTGCTAACTCCAGTGTACTTGCGAGGCAAGAAAGCTGCACCTGGATAACCCATGCAATCGGCACTCGGAAATCAAATTCAAATACAAAGGTAAGGCGTGACTCAGAGCATGCAGTCAACGCTAATGACGCCGCACATACAAAACGATCATATGAATGCCGCGTAATGGCAGTACTATGAATCTAAGAAGTCACAACAACACACAAAGTCCGCGATCGTTACGTAGCCGCGCGGAGGACGCAAAATCGCACCAACCCGGGCGTGCAAACTGTCTTTCGCCCATAGCAAATGTGTAAGATACCGTACGACTGGAAACGCGACAGTGCGCGCTGTCAACTTAAAAGGAAGGGCAAAAAAAGAAAAGAAGAAAAAAAAAAAAAAAAAAAAAAAAAAAAAAAAAAAAAAAAAAAAAAAAAAAAAAAAAAAAAAAAAAGAAAAGAAAAAAAAAAAAAAGAAAAAAAAAAAAAAAAAAAAAAAAAAAAAAAAAAAAAAAAAAAAAAGAAAAAAAAAAAAAAAAAAAAAAAAAAAAAAAAAAAAAAAAAAAAAAAAAAAAAAAAAAAAAAAAAAAAAAAAAAAAAAAAAGAAAAAAAAAAAAAAAAAAAAAAAAAAAAAAAAAAAAAAAAAAAAAAAAAAAAAAAAAAAAAAAAAAAAAAAAAGAAGGAAAAATTGTGAAAAGTACTATGAACCGCAGAGAAAAAGATCGTGCGGATACAAAATCATAAAGAACAGCCGCAATCTTCATTCGTGGCGACAATAGTACCCCAAAGTTTTAGAATCTTCTCATCTCTCGCAGAATTCGAATGATCCTTTGCATGAAAAGTATATTGACATCTAAGCGTTTATTTAAAACGAATAAAAATCGCGGAAGGCTACAAGCCTTGAAGATGAAGATATCTTCCGACCAGGCATATCCCGCAGAAGCAAATCTTTAGTTCCTCGACTAAAAGCAATTGCTTCTCCGTCTTTTAAATCATTGGCTATCAACCAATCTACAATTATATATTACAATGTAGTTCTTTAATCGATGACCATATAAGAATTGCGACTCGGTGTGAAATCATAAAAATGATAACAGAACAGATTAACATGAAATACGCACCTAAAGCTTGCGCTGGGAGTCGATCGGCAGATCCTGTATATTAGTCATTCCTTGGCCAGCGGCTCCAAGCTAGAACAAACGGGGGTCATATCACTGCTTCGAAGGCTTGTATACGAGTGTTTTCTATCAAACGCGTAAAACAAGTCGAAACATGTGTATTGGAAATGCATAGTCATGCCCGTAAAATAATTTACGTAAAAGAACATTTGTGAGCATAGAAAACACATATGTACTCAACGAACATAATGGATATCCGCATGGAGGTAGAAACGTAGGATTTGCAAGAAATGAATAGGACAATAACTCACGTCGGCAAAACAACATTAACTATTCCAGTAGGGGAGCATATGAGCAGTTTTCTAAGCACGCATCTCCGGCAGAAATGTGGCAGTATGGGGGCAGGGAAAGAGGGAGCAGTCACTTGACATGCGTGGAAAGGGGAATGTTCGAGTTCACACCAGTTCGCCAAGAAATTGCATCATGATGCCCCTCCTAACTGGAATAGACTCCGCAACCTTTGGAAATTTAGTGTGTGAGTGTCCGTTTTAAACCCCTTCCGTTCCCTCAAGCTCATTTCTAATATGTCAAAGAACCATTCATATCCTCTCAGTCTAGGGAAGCACGATCTCGTTCCGCACTGAATAAAATGAACGCAGATAACAAGTGGAGAAGAGATACCTAAGCGTTTCTCACGAAAGGCTGAAAGCATAGTCGTCGAAGACAGCAAACGATGCACGTCGCACGCATCGGGTGCGTATCGATTCTGCGACAGCGGTCGACGACAGAACGACGGCGGGTGCAGCATGATCGATACGCACACAAATGCTGTTCGAAACTGCAGTCGTTATGTCGTCGACGGACTATGGCGGCCAACATTGGAGCAAAAACTCGGTTCACTGCACAAGTTTCCTCCAACGCAAACAAAAAGGTGTTGAGAAACGATTGAAATCGTGGAGGTCTGCGAACTGGACTCGGCCTGCAACTCCAAAATTCATGCATGAAATCGTGCTTTGGTACGACACAGATCGTGGCTGACCTTTCATGACACGACACAGTTTAGCGTCCTCCGTCATTCATACAGAATGAGAGATGCTGTTACCTACCTTCATTGCAGTAGCGTCTGTCATTACTGGAACGTCTGAGGGCATGGCAATCTAAACCATCCTTTTTTGACTAAGCTGCCGATGCTTGAGAAGCTGGCAATCGTGCACGAGAACGCAAGTATGACTTTGGAGCTGTCATAGGCCCAAGGTTGCGAGCCAACATACAGCCCAAAAATCAAATTAATTCGACTGAAACTTTGTTCGTAGGTGTTGCGCTCATCCAGCAGGGCATCAAGTGACTGCTCTCACTCCTCCCCCTAGACTGCCTACACTCCCCCTGGCGCACAGGTTTCTCGAAGTACGGGACCCCGTGAGCCAGGGGAGAGTGAAGGCAGTCTAGGGAGTGGGGTGAGGGCTGCCACTTGACGTTGCATCACAATGCCCCCCTTACCGGATGAGCGCCGGGGTTTTTCCACTGGTTCCATTTGGCGTCTATTTTCTGCTGTTCTGCGACCTCTCCCTGATAAGGTTGGGTTTACGGACTACTTGATTTTTCCTCGATGGTCCTGCCGCGATGGCTAGAGCACAGAAAGGTCAGGACTGAGCCGTTAGGGAAAGGAGCGCTCCGAGGTAAGTAAGCCACTCACCCTATAATCTCTTACGCTTCTTCTTTTGCCAGACGGTGCCTTGTTCACCCATCGGAGTCCCTCCTCCCCCTAAGCTTATTGTTAGTTTTAGGTAATATGTATAAGTGAGAGAGCCCAGGAGAGTAGAAAATATGCGTTGAATAGTGCGCGCAAAAACGAATGTCATATTCGTAATCAGGACTTCAAATAACCCCAGTATACAAGTTTACAGCGAATTTGGTGAAAACAGCCCTGGCGCCAACGCTTAAAATGTCCGTAATCAGGGCATGGAATTGGGCAAAGTTTCGACGAAAATCAAAATTTTGAGTTTTGGGGTTGTAATTGTCGAATCGTACCCACTCCGATTCGTTCCAGTATAACCGCCTCTAACGAATATTTTGAAGCGAGCCGTGGACGCCATCTTCACTGTTCTTTGGTTTAGAGCTTGCGCGTTTCCTGCTCCTGCAGTAAGCATCACTCGCTTTTTGAAATAGGTTCTTTTTCAGTGCTAATAGACTGTGCCACCTTGTCTCCAGAATGTCCCAAGAGAATACAAACATGTCAGCTCCATCGCGACTAGGCAACCGTTCGCCAGAATCTGCAGGTATTTTGCAGCTTTTTATAGCATGTGCACTGAAAATTACCTTAAGACAAGCTTCTTCTCATTCTCCTGGAGGATTTCCTATCTACAATCAAACATGGCAGACAGCCTGTAAGAGAGAGGACAAGCACGATGACAATGAAGTAGCTTTCTTTTTGTCAGAAAGCACACGGTTGATTGTGTGGGTACTTAGGACAGAACGCGACTTTTTCGCTCTTCGCAACGCGACATCGCGCGGCAGGCTGGCGCACCCGTAGCGAAAACAACTACGGTATATAAGAACGCGCGATTGGAGCGCGATATTTGTGTCGGCTTTGATTGCGACAAGGAGTTTGAAGCTTAATAGCCATGGATTTGATAATGAACGAGGAAATGGTAACCAGAAGTGGACCGCTAACTAGCAGTGAAGAGGGAGGTAGGTTATTTTTGCAGAGATGGATGGTAGAGCTTCTGGAGAACCTGGAAGAGGAATGGTTGATGGACGTTTGATGAGACGACTGTAAACTTCTGCATAGGGGTTATTTGGGGCCCTGATCATGAATATGACACTAATTTTTCCCATTCGTGCTGTTTAACGCATACTTTCTGCTTTACTAAGCTTTCTCACCTACAGCGCCTACGACTAAGCATAGGGGAGGGGAGTGAAACTCCGGAGTGGGTAAACCACGCACCGTGTGGCAAAAGTTGGAGTGTGTCAGACCACAGGGGAATGGCCTACCCACTTTGGAGCCCTACACTACTCAAAGGCTTAGTCCTATTGCGATCTAATTAGTGCGAGGGCGCAGACGAGCAGGAAGCAGGCGCCGAATAGCGCTAACAACAAATCAGGACCCCGAATAACCCCTATACAAAAGTTTAAAACGAATTTAGTGGGAAACAGTTGTGGCGCCACCTGGCCCCAAATGGCGCCAGCGTCCAAAATGAGTATCATATCCGTAATGAGGACAGAAGCGTTTCGTAAAAGATGTTATACCCTTATGCAGAAGTCTATACAACAATATGAACCCACAAAATGCAAGCACAAGCGGCCCTATTAAACCCTCGTTCACCGATAATTCGTAAAACACCATTTTAGTGGCATCGCCCGGAATCGTGTAAGTCACAAAACGTTTTCAATAATGAGACAGAATTAGTGATTCACCGCATTATCAATACAATGGGTGTGAGCGCGGGCAAGTAAGGAATCAGAAACTTACAAATTCACGCATGCAAAAAAGCTGCTCCAATCGCGCGTTCTTATATACCGTAGTTGTTTTCGCTACGGGTGCGCCAGCCTGCCGCGCGATGTCGCGTTGCGAAGAGCGAAAAAGTCGCGTTCTGTCCTAAGTACCCACACCCGATTGATTGAGGGTCCCCGAGTTCTAATGTGCTTTTGAATTCAAATCATCATAAAAGAACCGCCAGCGGGTCGATTCCAGTTAGGGGCATCATGATGCAGTTTTTCCAGAGAGCTACGGTAACTCCGAAAATAATCAGCAAAAAATCAAAGAGTCATGAGCCTGAAAAAACGGCGTATAATTTCTGCTCAGCCTAATAATTTAAGAGATGAATTTACGTCGAAAAATACCAAGAATGCTTCTTTGATCTTCAGTATTGAATATTTTTTTTTCGGAAGAGCTTTCAAAACCCCTCGAGAAAGGTCAAATATTAAAGACTAGATGGTGCACAAAATGTGCTCGAAAAAAAGAAGCTGAGTAGAATCCTTGGTCACAAGCGGTATATTATACCAGTTGGCGCCGCACGCATTGCGCGCGCAACACAGATCTGCTGCGAACTTTGATGGTGCGACAAAAATTTTCATATTTGGCTTGATACACTACGAATATCTGAATCCTCAGCTAAATTCAATCCGCTCCATCATCGACGGCTTTCAACCTTTTTTTCTTCGTCAACCATTATCCTCTTTTTCTCGGTCTCCGGACTGCTTCCGGACAATAAATCTCGTGGCAAACTCCGCCTACTTCGGTGCGTGCCCCGCCCACCAATAGCATTTGGCCCCTTCCTTTCGCCGACCTCTACCCCTTTTTCACCGGTCTCTGGGACCTCTTGGAACCAAATTACGACACTTTTGGCAAACTCCGCCCACTTAGGTGCGTGCTCCGCCCACTAATAGCAGTTGACCTCCTTTCCTTCGCCGACCTCTACTCCCTTTTTCCCGGCCTCCGGGACTTCTTGGAGCCGAGTTTTATATTTTCGTCGCAAGACTCCGCCCACTTTGGCCAAGCCCCGCCCACCGATGACAGTTACCTCCTACTCCTCACCTTTTTCCCGGCCTCCGGGACTTCTTGGAGCCGAGTTATGAATTTTCGTCGCAAACTCCGCCCACTTTGGTCAAGCCCCGCCCACCGATGACAGCTGGCCTCCACTCCTCCACCCACCTCTATCCACCTTTTTCCCGGCCTCCGGGACTTGTTGGAGCCGAGTTTTGAATTTTCGTCGCAAACTCCGCCCACTTTGGTCAAGCCCCGCCCACCGATGACAATTAACCTCCACTCCTCCACCCACCTCTATCCACCTTTTCCCCAGCTCCGGAGCTTCATGGAGCCGAGTTATGAATTTTCGTCGCAAACTCCGCCCACTTTGGTCAAGCCCCGCCCACCGATGACAGCTGGCCTCCACTCCTCCACCCACCTCCATCCACCTTTTTCCCGGCCTCCGGGACTTCTTGGAGCCGAGTTATGAATTTTCGTCGCAAACTCCGCCCACTTTGGTCAAGCCCCGCCCACCATTGACAGCTGGCCTCCACTCCTCCATACACCTCTATCCACCTTTTTCCGGCTCTTTAGGACTTCCCCGACCCGAATTATGAGGGCTTGTAGAAAATGCTGTACACTTCAGAGCGCGCCCCGCCCATTCTGGGCGGGCCTCCGCCCACGTCATGTATGCGGGAAACACCTTAGACATTGCTCCCTTACACCAAATTGTTTTCTGCTCTGTAGGCTTTCTCCCAACCGAGTTATGAAATTTTTCATAAAGCACTGCTTTTTTAGAGAACGCCCCGCCCACCGGGGGTGGGTCTCCCTAATTCGATGTGACTTACCAATGCACACCTTACCCACTTTTTGGCCCAGTTTCGAGGTCGTTTTGTCACTGAAATCGAAATCTTGGTCTTCGGTACAATTCATTTCGACGCACGCCACGCCCTCTGTGGGCGGGGCTCCGCTTAGCTGATGTGTGTTTTGTATTACGTGAGACCTTGCCCACCCATCCCACACTTGACCCGGTCCCTCCAGGCGGATCCCGAGGAGCTAGGGAATTTCGTGACAGACATACAGAACGACACACGACAGACGACAGACGACAGACGAAGCGCTTTATAGTAAGTAGGATGCTCTTTACAGGCTTTTCCGTCAGATTCGTTTCTAGCGCAGAAGCTTATATATGGGCAGCGTTATGAAAGCAGATTGCGACTCTAAGACAATGGCGTGCAGATTCACTTGTCATTTCCTACCTCTTTACAAAAAAAAAACGTTTTTCAGGGTTGATAGAGTGGTATGATTCTCCGAAGTTCTTATTTTCGTCCCAAACTAAGATATCTCGTCGAAGTCTGCTACTGATGAAAACAAGAAGTGCAGAAGAATTCTCACCTTCGCGATCTTCTGTAAACGGTGGGTTTCTTCATCGTGCATCTACAATGACTTCCTAATTTAACAGGGAAATTTCGTCAGAGTATGAAGCTGTTCCATCTGGTTCAGAAAAATTTACTGAATATCGTGGTAATTCTTTTCGATTGACGAGGCCAGCAAAACGGATTTTTCGTTTGTGTTCACTACCATATTCGCTCACTAAGGTGCTGGCCCTTAGTAATTGCTTCTCTTGAATTACCCCTTCAACGTCTGTTTGATTATGTACCTAGGTTAATTTACCTCTTCCTTCTATCATGCGGGTTTTCTCGTTCATTCTCGAATTGCGCTCTTGATTTTCCTTACCTCACCATCATTAGACACCAATTTTTGATATGCAGATGACCACAAGGATATTTACTTTGTTTTCCAGGCAACTTCTTGCAGATGCCATGATTTGTTCTGCCGAAGCCTCACATTTTCCTGAATACGCGTATTGAGACAATTTGAGGCTTAAATAGTTCATTTCAAAAGGCGCTAAACTTTTGAAAAAACGAGTGCACAGTGCTTGAAGCCAAAGTCGTTAATCGAGGGACGCAGTTACTTCGCTCGATAATGAAATTAGAGTTACGAAAGTGGATCTCTTGTACAAAAAAGAGAAGAAACCGAAGTAAACTTCGAAAGTAAGCTTATTAATTTGAGCTTTCAATTCTACTAAATAAATTAATTTGAACTACTTCGGCTCCCAGAAGGCATCAGGAGATTTATCTTTAAAAAAATGCTTGGAACATGAACACATACGTTTTCTCCAAGGTTTTTGACTTTCGAAGTCTTCCGAATTAACTTTTCGGAATTTCGAGTTCTTTCATCTTTGTTTTGTGTGGCATTCAAAGGTTAAGCTGCTTAGTAAATAAGCACCCAACAGGTCCAACAATCTAATTTTATCTTACATCTGTGACCATTTGTGTTTCGATACAGTAGCAGGACTAGTTGTTGCTCAGTTTTAGTGTGCTGACGATGAGTTTATATGTGTAATTTATTTTTGTGTTCATGGACACTATGTAGCCCTTTTGTCTCCTTTTACGTTTATTTTAATGAGTTATTTCGTTCGTTTTTCATAGATCTAAGAAAGAAACTTTTAGGTACCCCCTCAACTTCTGATTTCGACAGCCTCTGGTGTCCTGGCACTTCAAATGAAAACACCGCACCGTTCGAAGGAGATGAGGCATCCTTCAGTCTTTTTGGGAACGAAGACGCACAGAGCAGTGGGAGTTTGGTGCGTTTCATTGAGCAATTCAGCTTTTAGGCGGTATTGACTGATCTATTCAAGTCCTATTAGGCGACTACTGAGGGGATCCTTATTTAGACCACTCCCCACCGTAGTCATAGACTGGATAAAACGCACCTGAGAAGGAAACGTTTGCGATCAGATCAACATGAGGTAACCGAGAAGAAATCAACAGATTCCCAAGGAAGTATGTCAATGGAGGAGGGACTTGCTCTTGGAAGAGCATCACTTGGTATCTTTTTATGTAGATTATGTTCATGTTGGGTAGAGTCGCATATGAAATGTAAAATGTAATAGATGTACTGATTTGTAATGATTTAACTTCAAGTCAAATTACGGCAGCGCCTTCGCAGTGAAGGAGATGCAAAGAATAATGAGGAGGAAACGAAAAAAGTGAGGTCTTACTTCGGAGTTGTTTTGGTTCTTGCTCCTAAGATTTCTGAAAGCAATGAACACAAGCTTTAGTTTATTTGTTGTACGCCACATGGGAAAGCAGCACAGCGTACGCCGAACTTGACACCGATTCCTTGTGAGAGAATGGCGCAAAAAACGTGGTGAGTCAGAATTAACACATAATAGTTTATAAAAAAGGGAGATGATAGTGCTGGACTTTATCAGCATTAAGTTGTTAATGGATTATCACGGCTAACGCGATTTTTTCATTCGCAAATATTTTTCATAGCGATGTTTCACGAATTTGTGTTGCATGAAGTGTGATCATTGTATTCCATCAACTACATTATATAGCATTTGACTGTGGATGACTACGACTAGATGACTGGCCTAATCACATTAGTTTACCAGCGCCAATGCGTAATTAATACCTTTATTCAATCACTTGAACATATATGTGATTCGTTTAGCCCTCTTTTGCACAGGGCAGAACGCTTCTCAATGTGAGGAGTAGTGCTAAAGAAAAAACTCGATGAGATTTCCATTTCGATTACAACAGGAAGGCACTGCAACGGAAGCAGAACTATTCCTTATTAGTTTCTTAGAGCTATGTTCAGCCTCCAGCCGTTAGTAGGATTCTGATACTATTAAGGAATCCTTCGCAAAAACTCATTCTTTCTCGACATGAATGTAACAGTTGTGATCACTGGAAACAACCCACAAAGTTTCACGCATGAAGATTCGATTTCCGAAGAAAACGTTTCAAATCTGCACTTCTATGTTCAATCGACAGTATGGCGAGTCAAAGGCGGGGCATGGAAAGAAGTTGGCTTTTAACCGGCTACGCAGGCGACACAATGAAGAATCGGGTTAAAGCGCGCGATTCCCGAGAGTAGAGACAAATCGATCGATAGAATTGGATGGAGCAGAAGTGCAGGATGCAATAAAGCAGAGGCCGAAAGAGTTCATAGTGTAGGCGCTTTCAAGAACAAGGGGGAGTATTCGCACCGCATTGTTAAAGAGTACGTGGCACTTTAAGCGTAGCAGCCCTTTTTATTTTTTGCGAACTTTTTTTTTTTACCGACATTAAGCATATTTGGTTCTTTCATTGTATCGCTGGATATGAGTCTCATGCTAGTGATTTATAAGCGAAGTATTAGAATAATTATTTTCGTGAAGGTTCCTTCAATTCAATGAAGTGAGTCGTTCAGATTCGAGACGAGTAGGGTTTTCTCGAGATGTTTCATAAGGTGATTTTATGTGTCAGTCAGCATGTTTAAACCATACGGACGGCCGGTGCGCACAGGTAGCGACACTTCTTTTGTTTTTTGTAAATGTTTCTAGCAATTTATATAACCGATATATACTCTCAAGCAATGTGAATAACTATTTCCCGACTGAGCGGCGTGGTAATGTTGCGAGTCGGTGTCAGGACAGATGAGTCAACCTGAAGGAAAGCCGGCGACTATAAGAGGCAATGCCAAACAGCCAACCGTTAGCAAGCGCCCGGTACCTAAGTTACTAATGACTAGATTTAACTAACGGGCAGTTGATGACCCAACGACCGTGGAACCGAAATTAGTAATTTACTAGCACGTAGTAGTGTGTAGGGCTTAACACTTATTGCTACACAACACTAACAAGTGCACTACTAAGTATTTATGATTGCACTACTCTTAATGTATTATGAAGTAACTAATTAATACAAGTAAGGTTAGTGACTCATTAAACTAACTCACGTCGGGTCGCTTCCCTCGACCCGCCGATCGAACCACATAAGAAGACTAAGAATAACATCCGGAATTAGGTGTTCTAAGGGCTAACGCCCTGCGAGTCTGCAGAACCGACGAAAGGGGCAGAACCTTGATGACAGACGGGGAACACCGGGACAGGCCGTGATGGTGCCGTTGCGAACGGCCCGTGCGTTTCCGCACGATCACGGGTAGGTCGTAGTGGGTCATGTCTGCAGTACTTCGCAGGCGCCGGCGCGCCCAGGGTTCCGTTGGAGCGGTCTTTGCGGTACGCGACAGCTGGATTTTTGCAACCTACATAAATTTGACATACAGTATTTATTAATTCTACATAAGTTTGTTATATTGATGAGGTAAACTTACATGTTGCACGTCGAGACCCCTTCCCCTAGATATAGCCACATCCTTGCTCGGGGTTGTTGTTTCGCATTTTTCGATAATGTCACCTACAGCTTCCATTCATTCTTTGCACCCTAGTTTTAGAGCGGAAAGGTAGGCTACGAACTTGTCGTCAACGGAAATCTCTTTTTTCGGATGATGAGACTCCGACACCTACTTTAGCCCCGTCTTACCCCTGCTGTTCACATAAGCCTACATAAACCCTACCCTGGGTGCGGCGTGCGCCACATAGTGGCGCACGCAACAAATACTGGCGTTCGTTATGCTTGAAAGCATTCAAGCAAGATTTGTGAAAGGCAAAGTCTCATCAGTGAAATTAGGATAAGGGTTGCGGTTCCAAGTGGCACATATACAAAACGCATGTTCTCAACGTTTCTGAACGCGCTGTAGAGAGCCGGGGCGCGTTGCACAAGGAGATATTGCTAATTCTGCATCGTGACAGTTACAAGAGAATATTCCAGCGACGTCGTTATTACTCCTTCGTTGGTGCGGACTCAACAACCGTCTTCATTTTCTACCAGTACTCCGAAAAGGCCATATGCTACTGCTATATCCGCGTTAGTTCCCTATTCTGACCAGTCTCTTTGACAGTTTTTCGCTCCAACTAATCTCTCTCTTACTAATTCGACTTACTTAGCTGAAAATTTTTTCAACTTTTAGAACACCACTGAAACGATTTCGCACAATGAATGACAACGCAGAACGAACAGGTGGGAAGTCTTACTTAGCTCTATAAATGTTTGGATGAATATACTGCTTACATTGGCCTTTAGAATGTTCGAGGAAAGATAAAATAGCACGCACTCAAAGCATGAACGTCACAAACGACGGAAGTGACGATGACTCTTTCTTAGACGACGTATTTATGCCGTTTACCGATCCTGACCAGTTCACCCAAATGTTGAAAAAGAATAACCCTAAGAAATGAGAAGCTGCTCCAATTACTACTGATATAGCAAGTAATGAAATAACTCTTAGGTATTCCATAATATAGTTGATCGTTTCTCTTCCTAGCTCGGCTACCGAACTTTTAAAAATTTGTTTTGTTATAGTTGTTACTATATAGTTTGTTGTTTTAACACGAGTAATACTTTTGAATGTTTTCAAATGCCTTGTTCTTGTTTTCTTCAGTTCTAGTTCATAACTCGGTTGTACATAAATTGTACAGGTACTTGGGTACTAAAACATTTGTCCTGAAACAATGCTATTTTTGCCATGAATGTTTGTGTAACACTTAAAATGACTTCCGAATCCTTTATAAAAATCAAGAATTCTCCACATAAAACATAACATCATAAAAGAGGTATAATAAATTATTAAGAGGTATTTAGGAGGATAAAACCCGTTGTATTTTTTGGACTACAGCCAGAATCTGCTCTTCTAAATCACAGGAGTTATCGTTAATAATTAAAAAGTCGTGGGGATGCTCATCCAGTGCACATTCTGAAGGCATGTCATCTATACCATCGACAAATTCGAATCCACGTCGTTGTCGTTCCTCATAGCTGGCCATCACACGAACTTTCAGTGTTTTATAATGACTTTCAAAATATTCAATATCGGATGGTCTTCTGCAGTCCGAAATTATTACTACGTCATCGGTACAGTCCGTAGGTATCGTGGCTCTGAAAATTCGATGTTGGTAAGTAGAACAATTTGTTCAACTTTTGTTGAAATGGTGCCTTCCTACGGCTCATATCACAAGCGGTAACCTGCAGAAAAAGTCCGGTTCAGCATTACGAACACCTTCGCCCCATCTGATCATGTTATGACGGTGAATCTCCTTGTAGGGACCATCGGTAACCAGTTCCGAGTAGTTCAACCCTGCAGATAGGAATTTATTAGACAAACGTCAGCCCAGCAATTGTTTCATTATTGGATTAGATATGAGTGTCTCCCGCTACTACACTTCGATTAAGATAGGGTACCCCCCCCTCCCCGAACTACATTTTCACCTATGAAAAGTATGTAAGGGACTCGTATATTGAGGTAACAGTTTTTTTGAATGTTCATTATGCAACTACCAATAGCATATATCAGAGCACGGCATTTAAGAGGAGTACTACATGGAGGCCACCCTTTCGTAGACAGCGTTTGTAAACAATCTTTTGCAAGGTTTGGCAAAAAGGAGTGAATGTGTATTTATCAAAGGAATCGCGCAGTCTCCTATTACGCCGAGAAAGTACGACTTGATGATCGTCCTTTTTGCCGAATGCCCTTATGATACGTGCTCGCTGATCATCTTTGCAAAATTTTGCGTATGGAAGCGGTTTTACTACAACTATAAAATGATGTTTTGTTTTTGTTTGTTATGCTGTTTTTGGCCGCAATTCGCCTTGCGAGTGTTTCATAAGAATGCTGGGTGATGAACGAAACTTTCGCTCCAGACCGGACTCGAACCCGCTTCTTTTGCTTCGTGGGCAAGGCCTTGGTCAAATACTCCATACCTCAAGTACAGATTTGCGTGTCTATTGGTTTGGCGTGGCGGCTGCCGCACTTGATGGAAGCGCAGATATGATGCTGCCAGCATACTCTGCTGATATCCAAAGGAGTACGTTAAAAAAGCCTCTCCTCACGGCTTCTATCAAGTGCGGCAAAGGCCACGTCAATCAATTGTACTTCGGAGATTTTGACTTGCTAATGATGTTCGGCTAACCAGCTCTACACATTTACGTCGTGCAGTGTTGACAAGCCTATGGTAAGTATCGAAGAGCTAAGACCTCCGGTCAGACTCGGCGACTGCGGTGCGCGTGCACGACCAAGCGACGGAATCGCCGCGGCGACGGAGTGCTCGGCCACAAGGTGCCGTGCTCAGACTCTGCGATTAGAGCGATTCACATTACTCCCATCATGATCAAATCGCTCCAATCGCGCGATGGGCGCGATCACTCCCGTTGTGGCAGGGAGCGATCAATGAGCTGGCGCGCCCCCCTCGAATCGAACGTTGACTGGAGCAGGGTCAAGCGTGCGTTGAGGAATCCTCGACACGTCGCAGGGGGGGGGGTCGTATTGGCCCGCTGGGTGGAAGAGATCGAGCCATTTTGATGCAGTGGGATCATCACCGTCGGAAGACAAATATCAAGGATGAGTCGATGCCAGGCCAGAGGATTTCCAATGAAAATGATATTTCACCCACACAAAATTTTCGTGATTCTGAGGCGTCCGGTAATTCTTAGTTACTTCAGTGTTTTATCACCACACAAGTTAAAGAATCTGAATTTCGCACGCTTTCCAAGAGATATTTCATCTTTCAAGTAAGACCCCGAATCGGAAGGGATGTGAGGTACACGGCGCATCCGAGAAAGGGTCTAGTTGTTGCGCGCGCTTCAACTACGGCTCCTTGGACAAACAACCTCAATTCAGGAACAATCGAGAGAATTCTGAAAGTGTCCGTGCGCATTTACAGGGAGGTGTACACCATTCAACATTGCGTTAACGGACTCTTCAGGGTTAAATTTATAAACATGTAACCTTTAAAGTTGAGAAACGCTAATCAATCACTTTTCTTAGAAAGAGAAAAGCAGTGATTCCAAATCTGCTCTTACTTTAGTACATAATCGCCCTTAAAAGGATATACAGCCGTTGAAATAGTGCCAATGTAGCGAAAAAGTACCTTTCGGCGGTACTCGTGCGAAAATCCTCAACGTAGCCGTTTTTTTAATACTGGACGTTTGGAGCAGTTCTAGTAAGCATTTGATAGAGCAAATCTTCTAGTTTATGATGGCGTATTACTTTTCGGATTGGATGAGTTTGAACGGAGTTATGGCTTTAGGAAGTAAAAAAACTCGCACTCATCACAAATTTTCCTCGTTAATTTTGCAAAAATCCTCAACGTGGCCATTTTTTGAATACTGGACGTATGAAGCTGCTTTAGCAACCGGTTTGATAGAGAAAATCTTCTAGTTTTGTATGACGTATCAACTTTTTGAATTTGACGGAAATGAAGCAAGTTATTGCTCCGGAAAGTGTAAAAACTCGTGCTCGTCTCGAATTTTCCTCGTTATTTGATCTAAATTTGTTATTTCTTATAACTTCCTGTAATTTCAGTACTGATTAGAAAAGCTCTTCACAAAACTCCCAAATCTGCTTTCAGATTGAAAATTCGTCATATTTGAAGAAAGTTATAATCATTTGAATATTTGTTCAAATTTCAATAGTAAATAAGCTGCTCCACGGTCAACGCCAAAGTCCAGTCAACACACAGCTGGCGAAGGCGGTTAAAAAGCTTCTTTCAACTGAAGGGCTACGTGCAAATTGAGAACCACAATCTGTGTAGTACTAGAATTTGGTAAGTCTTGTGGGGAAATAAATAAAGATGTTTCATAGTATGCCATTTTTAGTGGCTAGTTTGTCGTTTTCTGGTCTGTTTCTCGTTTGCTCGTTTGGTAGGACTCATCAATAATGATTATTCTTTGACTTTTTCACTTTTGTACTTCTTAAACGAATTTTTTTGTGGGCGGTGGGGTAGCAGGGCTTTTTTATGAGCAGTTTTGGGGGAGAATAAACAAGCTTTTCAACCTTTTCATAGTTCGGCTTTTGAAGAGGGTTGTTTCATGGACTTCGGCCTCCGGCGGAGGGGGTGGGGGGGGGGGTCGTATTTCCAAATTTTCCTCAACGCCTCGCTTGACCCTGCTGGCGCGAGCTGCTCCCTGCCACAACGGGAGTGATCGCGCCCATCGCGCGATTGGAGCGATTTGGTCATGATGGGAGTAATGTGAATCGCTCCAATCGCAGAGTCTGACATCGGCCATCGCCGGACGCATAAAGGTCGGTCCGGACGACAGCACACGACCAACAGGTGTCGCAGATCGATCACGCCCCAATGCTGTGCACTGCAGTCCCCCTCCCATTCGCTGTCGTCGATCCGACTATGCGTCCGCGCATGCAGCAACGGGCGATGACCACCACAAGATCGATATCGGTTGGCAGGGGGGAGATTAATCATCCTCACCCATCGTTCATGTTGTTCGCTCGGTTTTTTTTTTCAAATTCTTAATCAGGATAGTAGTCCTCCCTGTCATGGGGTGTAAGTGAAGACGTGCGAGAGTAGTCTGTGGGAGTGAGCTAAGCAACGTCGAAACTTGATTGGTGCTGGATCGAGTGGGAAGAATCTCTAGATAGTGGTGGTACTGAACGTGAGTTACAAGCGTGAGGTACAAACTTCTTGTTGGTGGTCCTCGCATTCAAGCGCATCCCACGCAGTCTTTTCCTGATTATATCCTATCCTGATTAAGAATTTGAAAAAAAAAACCGAGCAGAACAGAACATGAACGATGGGTGAGGATGATTAATCTCCCCCTGCCAACCGATATCGATCGTGTTCTGAGTCATCGCCCGTTGCTGCCACTCTTGTGCCGGGCAACTCCGTCGCCGGTGTACAGCGACGCAATCGCCGAGTCTGACCGAGTCTGAGTGGCCAGCCAGACCGAAGAGCCTGAGTTGAAGGCAGAATTGGTGCTTTCGTTAGTTTAACTAGTAGCCGCACTTGCCGGCAATGAAAGGTGACAGGTTAAATTCCCATCTGGGCGATAAGTTTGTTCAGAATCCCAGCATTCTTGATGAGTCGCCATCTTATCGGTCACCCCCCCCCCCCCGACGTGTGTGCAGGTGGGTAACGATGCATTCACTACAAAGCTTTGCTATAATTAATCTCTGTTCAGCTCAGTTCAGTGTCACCAACGTTCTGCCCTTAAGCGACAATGCATCACGATTTAGTCTGATTAGTAGATTACATCCTAATAGGAATAGCGGCTGCGGGCCGGGCCTTCCACACGACCCTTACCACCTTAAACTGGTCGTGCGTCATTAATTTTCGATACATTATGTGGGAGTTTCAGTTGGAATCGGTGAATAAGAATGAAAGGACACACCGTGCTCTTCGTTCGGCATTGAGATAGCTTTCAAGCTGCTAGCAGAGACACCAAAGATGGACACTTGTAGAGAGGAGATAAAGCAGATTTTAGCTGCTTGCTACAATAATCCTTTCCAGATTTCCGCTTTCCAGAAAATAGCACAACCAATTTCACCATGATATTACTATACGTACATGGTTTTTCTTGGAGAAAATTTTAAAGAATGCATTCCAGTGATTTTTAAAAATGCACATGAAGAAAACATGAACAGATTTATGTGAAATGTAATTGGACAGATATCTATAGTATATTGTATGCTATCTAAAATGCAGGCTCAAGTCACATATGTTTATTAGATTATATGTGCAATAAGTCATTGAAGAGTCTTCAAAAATCACAGACAAACAAGAAAAAAAGATCTATAAACAATATTTTGTTGAATAATAAAAAAAAAATGAATCCCTTCACATAGTATGTAAATCATCTATGCTCCGACGATGATATTATTGATTGGGATATGGATAAGTTTTACGAAGAATCCAATGAAGCCCATGATCGCGAAGCCGATCGCCGTCGCAACTGCGATCTTCTGATATTCTGCAATGCATGAATTAAGCTGATCGAAATACCATACAATACATATATAGTGATAGTAATAATAATACGAATACCAAAATCTCCAATATTGCGATGGATTTTAGGATGGCTGTGAAGAAAACTGAATCGTGGGAATCGATACATTTCAAAAATTCTGATGGAAGCAGTAGAGCTGGTGAAAAGCGCTTGAAATTAAAAGCTTCACGCATGGAAATTCTTCTATCACCCATACGTGGCTTGAGACCCAGCCTTCATCACATCATTCACCAAGGAAAGAAGAATTTGTGCTTGTTTCGCAAAACAATTCGAAAAACAAAAAGCTGCTACTCTGATTCCAGCTGTTGAGCTGTCACAAATATTATGGAGAAAAACTTGCTTCTTGGAGCCGTATATTGGCGGGAGGATAGCATAAGTCCGTTGAGTTGTCGTCATCAAATAACTTTTTAAGCGTCCTCCACCATTTCACGTTTACCGCGTCCCACTACTCCTAGGCTACTGCGCCAGAACTACAAAAGCTAAAACTCGCTGACCCTAAGTACACAGCAACTTGCTTATTTGACACATCAGCTTGCATGTCGTCGCACCAATACGTATTTTGTTCATGACCCCCACGATTCCACCAAGGCGCCTGCGAATTGTCCACAGCGTGGTTTTCAAAAAAGCTGCCTCTTCATGGTATCTAAGTTTCTACGTCAGAGAATTAATACACTGTTCTAGTGATTACACATAACACATCTGTGCGGAGAAGAAAGAAAGCAAGTTTCCGTATGCAACGCCTTTAGCATGTTCACTCGAAAACACGTTGATGTGATGAACAAAAGATTTACGATTATGCAGGAAGAACACCATCTACATAACTTTTGAATTCGAAGAAACAAATTCTTTGAAGGCCTAATTAGTTTAGTGTGTAGGAGATAACCCAGCGGTGGATGGAAAGTGCAACCCACCCACAAACACTGAAGCCGTATCGTAAACGCGTCGACATTTGAATACAGCAGCGAGAGCCTCCACTACGCGATCGCGAGCACAAGTGGGGCCTTTCTTACCCATCCTTATTATCTTGAACCATACTTCCCAAGAACAAGTAAAATGACGAACAAGTTTTGAATTCATGTCTGACACAAAGGGTACTGCTTGTTAGCGATTTCAGATTGAACGAGTCGTTTCCAAGGACGATTATGTGATGCAAGCCTTCCTAACATTGAAATTTCTTTCAGGTTTACTGATAATTGTAAGGGGTAAAACTGAATTCAGGGATACTGTTTCAGTTCAGAAAGCGTTTTTTAGAAAGCGAAAGAAGTAACAAGAAGAAGATACAATATTGCCCCGGGTAATCTTCGTCGGATCAGGAAGGATTCATGAACACCTTTCTATCAAAAATGCTCAACAATTAGCGGCAGTCACACATTGCGCCTTTTTGCAGGACTGCCAAACCAAATACAACGCAGCCGCGAAAAATGACCGCAGCTTTGTGACGATAACAAAATCTCGTAAGCTCTATCACTGAGCACTATTCGCAATCCCGAAATCTCAAACTTTTATTTTTCGTCAAAATCATTTGAGGATTTCTCGATACCCTGATTACGACAACGACTTCATTTTTGACGCTAGCCCCATTTGGCGTCAGCTGGGGCCACTTTATCACGACGTCTGTTTTCACCAAAGTCAGCGTAAAAAGGTGAGTAAGCCACTCACACGGTGGTATCGCACATTCCAACTTTTGCAACACGATGAGGTTTTCCACCTCGGAGTCTGCTCTCTTCCTTGAGCTTGGTCTTAGGCACTAGTGGGAACCCAAAAGAACAGAAAATATGGTTAAACAACGCTAGTACTGAAATACGACTGTTGTATTCGTAAATCAGGACATCGAAAACCGCCCTCTAACGAAATAATAATAGAGAAGACAGCGTCACGGAAAAGTAGGGCCACATTCTCGAACTCAAAAACAATGAGTTACCCCTAGTGGAGGAGGTTCCAGTGAAAATAAAATTTTGAGATTTTGGAGTTTAATATTTGACTAGTACCTAACAGTTATTAACATTTTCGAATTCAGTTGGTTGCTGACATTCATGCTTGCCAAAAGTATATTTTCCAAATTTCTGCAATAACGTCTATCTACAAAACGTCAACTTTTAAAAATTGGTGGGTCGGACACGAAACTTTCGAAAATAAAGAGTTCTTGAGCTGCTCCACGCGTTAGGCCCCCTTTATGAATCGGCACATACAAGCACCAACCCTGAGCGAATTTGAGAAAGAATCATTACGAAATGTGCGAGACAACTGAGGACAGGATTGGATGTGAGTATTGCCACAACAGAACGGCATACTTCGCGAAGCAATGAAGAGCACAACCCCAACAAGTATGTTCACAGATCCAAGAAAGCCAATATCCACGGAAAGAGGGACAGCTAGCCAGAACATGAAAAAGTCACATCACTAGAAAACAACTCATGTATTCCAGAAAAGATTATGTCTTGAGCTTCATGTCCAGCTAAAAGCTTCCCTGTTGAAGAAATATACGCGTCTAACAACTGAGAATAGTTTCAGGTACCCGATAAAAAGATGTTTAGTGGAAATTTAAAGGCCAAGAAGGAAAACAAACGTAAAAATTGCAAACCTTTCCTGTCTGGCTTAGTGCACCTCTTCACCAACCGAATTGAATCCTTAGCAAATTGGCGGCCGGGTTCAATAAGTGCTTGGAACTGATCCATTATAAATCTGGAAATAGTTTTGGTTCTTGATCTAGCTCATTCAATTTAATCAAATCCCCGTGATATTTAACGCTTTGAATACAGAATAACAGAGGCGAGACATGGTCCAAGTTGATCGGTAAACCAAAAATTTATTGAACCATAGCCTTTACTTGCAAACCGAGGTTCGAAACATTCACATAGACGCAGAGAACTAAAATAGACAAGCAAGAGAAGTCAGCAAGAAATAAATGCGCACCATGGAAAGAAAACAGAAAACAAGAAATCTGATGAAAGAGTGAACCTTTTTTGAACTCGGCTGATGAAATGGTCCACAGGTAAACCTCCATCGAAAGAATAAAAGCGTATCCCTCAGAAAGATGCTAGTAACACGTAAGAGAGAAATTACGCAAATTCGACAAGCAGCAATCAAAGTGACGACTCCCACAGGCTTTACGAGTCCCCACAGCAACATAGACGCTTCCCAGGACGATTTATACGAGCGTTAATAGACGAAAACTAGCCAAACGAAAAGCCTGAGCCGCCGTTGTAATTCCCAACCCACGGATGGTGTCCCGAGAAAAGACCACCCGCCAAACTGCGCCCCGCGAAGGGAAGCGGCGCGAAAATAGCTCGCGGGGCGAGGAGGCGCAGGCGGCCACCGTAGTCGAACTGCAAGAGTAGCGGCGCGCATTTCAAATGTGGGTTTCGCTCGAGAACCTGTTTGACGGTGTGAAACTCGCTTCGGGGTGCGAAGCGCTGTATAGGGGAGAGGGCGGCCGTCGACGGTTTTCGGCGATTAGTCGCGCATCGTTCTCCAGCAGCTACTCATGCTCTAGAAAACGCAACTGCACTGAACGTCTTCGATAGAACTAATTCACGTTTTTCATTCAACGCCTCATCGGTGAACGGCCCTCATCTGGAGCCTTGATGGTTCGGAGAAGCTGGGTGGCTGTGCTACTCGCAGCCGTACTGCTCCCTACAGTCAACGCTGAGCTGCCGACTGAACTTGACCCATTCCTCGAAGTGCTATTCGACGTCAAAGAGTGTGGGTTTCTACCTTTTCAATGTTGATGGGGTTACGGTAACACTCTCTGGATTACAAAGTTCCGTCAGTTTTTCGAGAAAGGTTTTCATGTGTAATACGGAAGTCACAGAAATCTGCCGAATGGCAAGGGGATTTTGCTCTTTTCATTCATTCTTATTTTTTGTCTGGTTTTTATTCCATTTATATCGCTGATTTCACTTCCGTTCGGCTAATCTCCGATTTTCTCGAGGACATTTAGCGCACGAATGATTCACGAAATTGAAACGGATGAAATCTTGCAATTGCTATAGCGAAATAGTACCTAATCGTTTTGAGCTCCATACAAGGCTTTCAGAGCCGATTCGAACGGTAAATCCTTTCTCAAAGTCTCTGGGGGGATGGTACATTGAGAACCACAGCTGCCTATTGGATCTTCGTCTATAGTTGAGATCATCTTATAAAATAAACAGAAGAAACAAGTCGCACGGGGGTGCTCTAGGAATAAGCCTAGGAACTCTGTAGAAAATCAAAATTGCTAGCCATAAGTGTGCCCCTAAAAAGGGGGGTCTTCCAGGGCAAGCTTTTTTGGAAAACAGTTTTACATGTTGTAGGGACGCATGTATGGACCACAAAACCATGTTTCGTTTTCGCTGAACGGTTTTAGTAGTACCAAAAAAGTGGTGAATAATACTCTTGATGGTTCAATCCCCCGCGGCGACTAAA